GAGAGAGAGAGAGAGAGAGAGAGAGAGAGAGAGAGAGAGAAAGAGAGAGAGAGAGGGAGAGAAAGCTTACGATCGTACAGTCTTGTATCCAGGATATCAAGGGAATTTCTTGCGCGAGGTAATTCGGTAATCAACGTTATAGGAACGGCAATACGCGCGTTCCAACTTTCGAATTGCAAAATACATGCACTTCTGTACAGAATTTTTCGTAGGTTGCGAAGATTTCCATGAAAAACTCAGCACTTGTCGGCTTCGTGAAATTAAAGTATTGTTGTTTCATTTACGTATAAGCTGTACGTTAAGGAAAAAATTGCTTATAATTTTAGGATCGTGTAACGTGTGTTAGCGAAGCATGCTTCAAAGTAGAAAAATAGGACAATGCTATAACAATAATTATTATAATTAAAGTGAGTTAAGAGTATAAGGCATTTAATAAGTGCAAAGTATTTCTTAATAAAAGTACTTCCAAAAATGATGATCGTGCGTCGAAATCCTTTCAAGAACCAACGATTCTCCGTCGCGCGAGTCGCGAGTCGCGAGTCGCGTGTCGCGTGTCGCCGGTGTAGACCGCTTGGCGAAAACATTCTTTTCAACGAATGCAACCAACCGTGTTTCTTTCGACTGCGCACGGGTCTTTCGCGTTGGCGGAGACGATAAATTGGCGTGCGCGCTATTTTCCGGCGAGGGTAGAGGATTCCGGGGAAAGATGACGAATTCCGTGTGATCGTGACACGGCGGACCGCAGCGGCTCGCGTCTACGCAACCCACGAGAACAACCTACGACAACCCCACGCGGCGCGAGAAGAGACGCGTTTGAAATTTCGGGATCCATGGCGCATCGCGCGTGCTCGTTTGCCGGCCGATCGTCGCGGTGAAAAGAATAGAACGGGGCGGAGCGGTTGCAACGACGACGCGATGAAACGAGCGCGCGTCGGGACCGTTAGGCGATCGAGGCGATTCCGAAGAGGTCGCGGTGGAAAGCGAGCGTCCCGAGTAAAAGCTACGCCGCGGGCAACGCGGAGTCGCGTTTCCGATCTTGACGCGAACAAAAGTGCGCGCAAACCTGGTTGCTTCGAAAGCTCCGCGAACCGAAAATTTTGCGCAGTTGTCGCAAGCGAGTGATTCGACGCGCACGCTCTCGCGCGTTCCCTTTGTGTTATTTTCGGGCGGAATCACCGTTCGAAGCTTTAAATAGGACCGACTTTCCGACCGAGAAGACAGTTTGTAACGCAACCGGTTCTATATGCTGGAGCATCGCAGATTATTTGCTGTGAGTAAACAACGTTCAATGGGGTACGCGTGTCGGGAAACGTCGAGCATTTACAATTAAAACGTAACGTTCGAGAGCCGTGGGAAGCTTCGCGCGCGGAACCTCCTTTCTTCGACGAATCTTCACAGCGAGGAAGAAACGTTCGCGATGCCTTGGTCGGATCTTTGCGCGAGATGAAATCGAATCGGACCCAAGTGGAACAAAGCGAAACGAAGCGAAGCGAACCGAGACCGAACGAAACCTTTACGGAGATACAATCTTGGCAGTAGTCGCGAGACACTTTGATACCTATGAGCTAGATTTTGTTGTCTTCGATGAAAAATCGGCTGGTCGGTCGAGCGAGGAAAGGTAGGATCGCGCGAGATCGCGAGAGAGCAAAGATCGTTTGCGAACGCGTAACGCGGAGATCGTCGAATCGGTTGTTCCGATCGAGCGAAAGTTCCGTTATCATCGCTAAATTTGTGTCGCTTCCTTGGCAGAGTTTCGACTTGTTTCAATCGAGATCTCGATTGTTCGATCGAACGTCGCGTACAGCGTCCGTGCGATGCGATGCGATGCGATGCGATGCGATGCGATGCGATGCGATGCGATGCGATGCGATGCGCGCGACGGTCGAACGGCAAACTCGGTTCGACCCGAAATGAAACGTGGATCTCGCGCGCTCCGTTTTTAACGATGATCGAATAGGAGTAAAACGGAGTAAGGAGGAGAGCGAGGAGGCAGAAACAGGCGGACGCGGGAGGAAAGAGGAGGAACGAACGGAAAGAAGACGAATAATCGAAATGTCTCTGTTTGATTTCCGCCGATGGCGGCTGTAGATGCCTACCGAATGCGTCGCGAGTCCGCTGCAACGGGAACTAGCCGATTCCATAATACGTTTGCAACCGCTCGACGAAATTCGAATTCTCCTGGCATGCGGGGCAAAGGCGAACGAGGCCGTCACTCAGGGTTTGAGGCCGTTGCATTACGCGGTGTGGCAGAGGTACACGGAAGCGGCTCAGTTGTTGCTGGTGCGCGGCGCGGACATCGACGCGACCGACGAATGCGGATACTCGGCGCTGCATCTCGCAGCCGAGCACGGCTACGTGGATCTGGTCAAGCTGTTGCTCGACCACGGCGCCAAGATCGACCACCGACCGGACACCGGAGAGCTCTTCCCGAGGTACGCGATTCCTATCTGTCTAGCGAGCAACTCTCTTCTCTTCCGTTCGATCTCGTTCGGCGGCTTTTCCTCGGCCGCCTCGTTTCCCTGGCTTCTCCTTCTCTCGTCTCACTGCCGCGTGTCTTTGTTACCGGTGACGGAAGAGAGCCGCTCGAACGCCGAACGGAAGAGCGAAAGAGAATGTCGATTAACGATGCGTACGCAGGACCACCATGTGCGACGAACCGCTGCGTCTCGCGCTGAAAAATCGGCACGTCCAAGTGGCGAGGATTTTGCTGGAGGCCGGCGCGAACCCGAACAAGCGATACTTCTTCGGATCGGAGATCAATCTGGTTTCGCCGTTGGACCTGCAATGCATGGAACTGCTGCTGGCTTTCGGGGCGCAGCCGAACACGAGGGACCGCGCGGGACTGACGCCGCTGATGAAGGCCGCGAGGCTACCGCAGGTAAGGCGACGATCGTCGCGGCGACGGAGCGATGCACTTACCAGCGGAGAACGTTCGCCAGGGTATCACCTCGGTGCTGCTCCTGCTGAGCTACGGCGCAGACGTGAATTCGATGGCGGACGCGAGGCACGATTACCGGACGGTTCTGCACTACGCGATTCTCGGCGGGGATCCAACGGTGATCGATCTGCTCCTGAAGCAAGGAGCTCGGCTCGATCTCGGGCCCGAGTATCAGAAGCCCACGGCTCTCGATTTGGCCATCCTGAAGGGGGACCCCTCGATCGTCCAAATGCTGTTGCAATCGGGTGAGCGCTTGCCTTCCTATTCTTTCGAAAGGACCGATATCGGTCCTCCGCGGGCACTTTGCCACCGGCGTCGTTAAAACACGCTCGAAACACGTCGAATTTAGGTGCTGACGTGAACGCGACTTCGCCGATCATCGGTTCCCCGCTGCACGTCGCTTGCGCGGACAACATTCCAAACCGGCTGGAGATCCTGTCGATGCTGCTGGAACGGGGCGCGGACCCGAACCTGGTGATACGCAGCGACGAGGGGCCGGCGCTGCGCCCGGTCCTCGCGGAGTATGTGGCCTCGAACGAGAACCCGTCGGTGCAGGTGGTCGCCCTTCTGCTCAAGTACGGGGCGCGAGTCGTCATCAAGACGCAGTTCCGCGACCCGCACGGAATACTCAACTCCCTGCAGAACACCGCGGACAAGCCGCGGCTGCTCAAGGCGTTGCTGGAAGCTGCGGAAAGCTTCGACCCCTGCATGATCCGTAGGTCGAGCAGCCTGACGGACGCGCAGAAAGCCATGGTCATGGAGGCGGCCAGAACTCCGTTGCCTCTCACCCATCAAGCTAGGTTGATAGTTCGAAAGTTGTGCGGCACCAAATTACCCAAAATCGTTCGCAAGCTTCAGCTCCCACAGTCGCTGCATCGTTATCTCCTGTACGATTTCCATTAGACTCGTGCCACGAGGTCTCGCGGAATGGGAAACACCAACTGCAACGAGGCACGAGAACGGGCAGAAAGTGGCTGGCGCACAGTGTCCGTGCTCTCGTGGGCCGTGGATCCAGACGACTACGATCAAACTTCCTACAATAATATGCCGTTTGTTACGTTACCGTCCATATTTTTACTCGTCTCGTTTAGATCGACGGTTCTTTCTACGCGCGTGCATCTCTATCGAGCACGCGCTTTTTGTATTTCTACCAAGTATACGCCTGTACGTGTACGTATGCGAAATAAACGGGGGATATATCATGTTACACATCGAATCGACACGATTCCACGTATTCGATGCTCTGCTTTTCTACTTTCCTGCTCGTACCGTACTCTCCCGTATCGAAACGTTACGACGTTGCGTGGAGGACAAAGAGGCGCGGAGGAAGGCACACCGTGGGTACGTATTATCCGTACTTTGATTTTCCCAGTTCCTCTCGACTACTTTCATCGAGCGTAGGAAACTTCAAAACCCTCCAAGTTCTTCATCTTCGCGCGTTCGTTCGAGGCTCGGCCTTCGAAGACTCGCGCGTTTTACAACGCTAACGGTATTTCTTACACGACTGTCGCGCTACTCGTTCTTCTCGAGTTCAGTGGTCCAAACTGTGTGCCACATAGTTTTCTGCTCCTTAACCAAGCGTATTACGAAAAGACCATTTCGATGGCACGCATTTCTGCTCTAGAGATCTCGGCTCTAGGGTACATCGTCGAGCGTGTCGTTTTCCTTTTCACCTTGAACGCGTCCGTTCAAAGTTCGTTACGATGAACAATGTAAATGTCAGATGGTCGGACGGACGACCCAACACGGTTTCATCTGTCGCTCGAAATAACCGTTGCAAAAAACTATCTTTGTCTTTTCATTTTAATCGGCTATTGCGTTGTTTCGATGCAAAAGTATTTCAATGCGTTTCGCAATTGCACGGATACCGATGGTCGAAATAGTTGTTCACCCCACTCTAACCGTTTGAAAGTCACGAGGTTGGGGCGGTTTCATCGGAGATCGGGCCGGCCAATTATTTTCGCTCGGAAAATCTATTGTACAATGTATACGGTACGATAGGTATACGTGTAGTATCGTTGCGATTACTTACGGCGGCACGCATCGCGTGTTGTTACCCTTTATCGCAGAAAAGATTACTACGCAACGCACAGTCGCGTAGACGGTTTGAATGGTCGGTACTCGCGCGTTTACTCGCGCGTTTACTCGCGCCTCGCATTCGAACCGTTCGAGGCGCCACCGTTCGATTCTTTCGTTGCTACCCTTTCTCTCCTTTTCGTTCGCATACTCGTTTATTCGACGAACCTGTGCCTTTTCTCGCCGGTACCAGGATATACACCTACCACGTATATTCGTCGAGCAAACGATAGAATCGAAACGTTTCGTTAGCCGTTCGAAATGTTTCTCGCGGTTCGTCGGTCGGCGGCGCGAAGCGCGGACTTGAACGGTTCGAAATGAAAATTCGGCTAATTTTCATTGTTTCGTTGCAACGGACGGTTCGTCGGTCCTATATTCGTTTACTCGCGCGCAGTACGCGAACGTTGCTCCAGTAGCGCGAGTCGAAAAGTTGCCCGATTGGACTCGGCTGCATAAATGCACGTACATACGTACGGATTCGGGGTTCGTGTCGATACTCGTCGGATGATGCAAAGAAGTGCGGTCTAGTGTCCATTCGTTTCAGTGTTCACGTTGCTAACGCACGTGAGAGCTCCTCGTGGTAACCAGAGATAAAACGGAGGAAAGACAAAGGTTCCTTTTGCCGGTAGCGTTCGTTTACGATCAGATCGAATTATGTCGTGGCTTTTCGGATACCGTAATTCCCAACCTCAAGACTTTTCGCAATTCGTGCAAGTGCCGGCATCGGCGAATCCTCCTGGCGATGGCGACGGCTCCCGCGTACCGATCGGAAAGTCTCAAATGGATGCTTACCGATTCGATTCGAGTGCTTTGGAAAGAGCAGCTGCAGCCGCTAAAGAGCTCGAAAGATCGAGTATGTACGATTGATTTTTCAGTTTCTCCCTTTCATCGAATTGCCATGCAAGATTACGTAAGAAAAAAACTTGTTACACGGGTTAGGAATCTCGTCCTCGTGTTCGTCCGGTGCGACACGCAAAGTCTCGCGATTCCTTTAATCCGAATAACAATATCGTATAACCTATTTCTTTCGAATTTATCGCTTTGCCGTTCCTTCGAACTCGGACCCCTGGAATTTTGACAAACTTTTCGTTTCTTCAGAACATGCCAAAGAAGCGCTGGAACTGTCCAAATTACAAGAAGCAACCAAGCAGGTCGAAATGCAAACCGAATTGAAGAAATACGAGGCTAGCATAGAACAGCTGAGAACGGATCAGAAGCGAATCGAGGGAGAGGAGAGGAGGAAAACTCTACAAGAGGAAACCAGGCAACACGAGATGCGAGCTCAGTACCAAGATCAGCTGGCGAGAAGACGATACGACGATCAGCTGATACAGCAACAGAGGATGAACGACGAAAATCTAAGGAGGCAAGAGGAATCGGTAGCCAAACAAGAAGCGATGAGGAAAGCTACCATAGAACACGAAATGGATTTGAGACACAAAAATGAAATGAGGAAATTGGACGCCGAATTGAAGGCCAAAGCAAAAATTGACAGAGAGAATCAAGATTTGAATCTGGAACAGATCAGATTGAAGGCATCCGAGAAAAGAATCACCGTCTTGGAATCTATAAAGTAAGTAGAAAGGCTGTACCGACGATAGACGGCATTAGAATGCGCGCATTAAATGTTTCAGGACTGCCGGTTCGGTATTAGGTTCGGGCGCTACGGCTCTTCTACAGGACTGGGACAAGATTCTAGCTGCCGCTGGCGGCTTGTCTTTGCTGGCGTTTGGCGTGTATACCGCGAAAGGATCGACGAGCGTGGCAGCAAAGTACATCGAGTCGCGCCTGGGGAAACCATCGTTGGTTCGAGAAACTTCCAGATTCACGATACTAGACACGTTACGACATCCTGTCGAGGCAGCGAAGAAACTCAAAACTAAGCAGACGGACGCGCTATCCGGCGTCGTGTTGGCTCCGAAACTCGAGGAAAGGTTGCGCGACATCGCTATAGCTACGAAAAATACCAAACGAAATCGCGGAATGTATCGAAATATTCTAATGCACGGCCCACCCGGAACCGGTAAAACTATGTTCGCAAAGAAATTGGCGGAACACTCCGGCATGGACTATGCGATCGTAACTGGCGGGGACCTGGCACCGTTGGGTCGAGACGGTGTCACTGCGATTCACAAAGTTTTCGATTGGGCCGTAACCTCTAGAAGAGGTCTGCTGCTTTTCATCGACGAGGCTGACGCGTTCTTGAGGAAACGTTCCAGCGAACATATTTCGGAGGACCTGAGAGCGATGCTGAACGCGTTTCTCTATAGGACTGGGGAGCAGAGCAACAAATTCATGTTGGTTCTCGCTTCGAATACTCCCGAGCAATTCGATTGGGCTGTCAACGACAGACTGGATGAAATGGTAGAATTCCGTTTGCCAGGGCGGGAAGAGCGCGAACGTCTGGTTCGTCTCTACTTTGATAAATTTGTTCTTCAACCGGCAATCGAGGGCAACAAAAGGCTGAAACTGGCGCAGTTCGACTATGGCGCGCTTTGCACTAGATTAGCCGGGATGACCGAAGGGATGTCTGGAAGGGAGTTGGCGAAACTGGGAGTTGCGTGGCAAGCGGCAGCGTACGCTTCCGAGGATGGAGTACTCACCGAACAAATGGTCATAGATAGGTGTACAGAAGCTATCATGCAACACAAGCAAAAGGTACTGCTCTTTCTTTCGTCGAACAGAATCATTTCTTTTTCCGTAGGTTTAATGATATCGCGTATGTATGTTTTTCCGTAGGTTCAATGGCAAAGCGAACAAGAAAGACAAGAAGCAAAATCAATTTATGCCACGGAAAAGGATGCTGTGCAAATGGAAAGGTCCAACATTGCGATCGAACCCGCACCAGGACCTTCAGTTGCAACCGCCTAATCGACATAGTCGCGTGAATAATTGCAAACCATATTTTACTAAAAAACCAATTAGTACTAAGTGCAAGTGAAAAAGGTACAAATGATGCTGTTGAGAAAACGAATTTAATTGCACAGTTCTCGTCGCCTAAGCGAAACTCTAGTGTATAAATGCTGTAAAGGAATAGCGCATTTATTAGAAATGTCAACATTTCTAGGTTGATTAAACTTTCAATTACATCCCTCCCCTCCTCCCCGCCCCTATTGTCCGGGTGCGTGTGCGCGCGTGTGTTTTATCGTAAATGTATACATGTACAAGCCTTCAATTATAGCCTGATCGAAATAAAAGATAAAAACATTAAGAATTTCGGATTAAACTTCCAAGGGACAGGAGGCTTGCAAGTACCATTTTATTTCTCGTTCTCTCGTAGATGTGCTGCGAATCCGACAAAATATACAAATTTTAACGACAGATTGTAAGCTGCAAAGTTCCAAGCTAATCGAGACATCAGTTGTAATTACTGGATGATTTTATTATTTCTATATAGTCGTACGCGAACGAATACTGAAGCGATTGTATAGTATTTCAGACTTACTGTATTCTGAAAAGGTTCAATAAAGATACCATTTTTGTTACTGTTATTCGTTAAACGCTTCGACTTTATTGTTTGGTTAACAGATAGATGATAAGGAAACATTACCATTCGTGTACTCGTATGTTTCTAATCAACAGTGTTAAAGTTTCTGCTTTTTACAATGTTAGAATATAAGTATTCTTCGAAATGGTATGAAAGATTCTGGAAAAATAAAGGTTCGTTTCGTTGCGAATAACGATACATATTCGACATGTTCGTTGTAACGTAGCTACGTAACGAAAATCTCGCTATTCGTTAGAGATACATTTCGATTCGGTCCAACAACCAAGTACATACAAACAATTCATCCGGACTGTATAATTTGGTCGGAGCGAAAGCACCGATCTCGCAACACTGTTAACAGCATCAGAGTTCTATGTCGCTTGAGCATACCTCTCCCTTCGGTATAGTTGGATGCAAGGCCAACGAAAGCTAACGATGCCTTTAACTCGATAAAGGACGAGAAAAGGTATTCTACGAGGAGAGTCGTTCTCTCGATTGAAGGAAGAAAGAAAGGAAGAAAGAAAGGAAGAAAGAAAGGAAGAAAGAAAGGAAGAAAGAAAGGAAGAAAGAAAGGAAGAAAGAAAGAAAGAAAGAAAGAAAGAAAGAAAGAAAGAAAGAGGCACAATTACATTACGTACATTTCAGTTTCACTTTGGTTTTGACTCGTTCTTCATCGATATGAGGAGGATACATTTACGACGGAGGAGAACGTAAATATTTTTAATCCCTGACACGAAGTCCCCAAATGCTTGTTCTCCGTACGCCGACCGTCGGTCTAGCGACAGAGCTATATAGGAACTTGTTGAGCTGAGTTTCACCACAGGTAACTTGTAAAGTTTTCAATTTTTCTTCCGACATTAAACCGAATACATCCAAATATAACAAAGACGGCATGTACGCTAACGTTAAGTATCTATGCGGAAGTATACCATAACACCGACTCAATGATAAATGTTCTATTTTCGTTAAATCTAACAAGCTACGAACAGTGTTCATCGCGAGCATCGTACAATCGCTCAAATCTAACTCCACCATATCCGGACAACTTCTCACTAAGTCTTTAACATCTGAAAGGAACGAGCAACGTTAGTAAAAATGTATCGTAAAGAGATCGCAAGGTCTACCGAAGGTAAGGTTTTATAGAAAATTCAACTTACTGTCGTCGGTCATTGTTTTCCTACATCCAGCTATATTTAAACGCGTAACAGACGGTGGTAGGGATTTACAAAGTAACGTCATAGATTCCATGTCCAAGTTACACCAAGACATATTGACAGCACTCAAGCTAAAAATACCAATAAACAGCTCAAGTAAGCTGAAATTTATCGGCAACGCGTAATGAGAAATTGGTTTCCTTACTGTCGAAGTTTCATTAAATCCTTGATGCATTCGACGTCCATACCCTCGCACATTGTCAAATTCAAAATTTCTAGATCACTATTTTCGCTAATAGCTTTACAACACGATCTGTTCACTATACATTTTTCTAGCGATAATTTTTTCAGGTATTTACATTTGGCTAATAACATAGCCAGTCCATTTGGAGGAATGACAGCCATCGAGAGATCTAAATATTGCAGTTTGCTAATATAACCGTCCGTGAAAACTTGGCTGTTTTCAAGGAACACCGGATCCGCGATTTCTGCTTGAGCAAGTCGAAGTATTTGAACGCCCCGTGGTAATATGTGCCCCAACGTACCTTCGCTGAGCACTTTACCACCTAAATCCAATCTACTCCATAATGCTTCGTCTCGAGCTATTTGGCACCACCGTTTACACACTAACATGGAACGCACCTGAAAGATTAAGCATCGTGAATTCGATCGTATTATATATTATATTATAAGAAAAAGGGCAAGTGAACCCCGTTTCTTGTCTGAAAAGCATACCAGGCACTTTTTAGGAAGCCATTTCAGTATCATTAAAATCATTTCGTCCGATAACTTGTTAAATTTGTCCTCGCCGACGATAGAGAGTTTTCTTTTTCTTCTAGACAGGTAGAACTGTTCGAGGCTACTTCTTTCGGAAGATGCGTTTAAACTGTTTTGGCTAAAACTTTCTTTCGTGTCCATAAAATTGTTTATTTCCATCCTAGAGGAGTAGCCAGATTCGTTTCCAACGGTCGAATAAGCGGCTGGTTCGTCCAATACGTACGAATCTTGTTCCAGTCTAAAAAGAGGTTCCAAAGTTGCAAAGAAATCTATGGTAGAATCTAACGGATTCGTCCAAGGAGAATAATAGAGTCACAAACCTATCGATTCCAGTGGCTTTAAAGTTGGCACCTCTATAAATAGTTTGTTCGCTTTCATAATTATTTAGTTTTTCGCAATGTTTATCGGTATGAGATATTATAGCTGGCGAGGTGGTATGTCGGAGGGATTCGGACATCTCTGTACTGTCGCAGGATGCTTCATCTTCCAGCATGCTAACACCCATATCCGCTAAGATTTCTGGTTCAGCGAGAGTCCCATCTCCCGAATACGACCACCTTTCGTTGCTCTTGGGCTCGTCGTTTGTAATATTCTTCGAGTTGTTGTTGCAACTATCGTCCAATCGTAGTTTCTTACTAGAACAAAGATAAACGTAGAACAGTTATGCTTCCATGGAAATGACAATAATAATATTAGTAGCGATAATAGTAGTAATAGAGAAAGTAATAAAATGAGAAAATACAACTGTAGAAACGAATGTCGGCCGGATCGCGGTGAAAATACAGAGAATAAATGAAATGTACTTCCAACCAGAGTAGCCAGCAGGGAATCTAGAAGAAGATGGGACCGCGAGCGGTTCGTTTTCTCGAAAGACGTAATCGAGAATAGAATGAAAAGAGCGTTTTCGATCGACTGGACTGATTGATAGTCCGAATGAAAGGGACGAGATGGTTACCTTTCGAAATCCGAAATAACGTTTTTCGAGTAAGTTTGTTTCTATGGAATAGGTTGGTTTCGATTGCACCGATTAAACGATGCAAAGTGTGTCTCCGCAATGGAGATCGAGTGAAAATTCCTAGTCGCAACACTGGTAAAGGTTCTTAACCTCACCTGTACGCGCAATACTATGCACCTGCATCGAGTTGTGCAACAGGTAAAAGCCTGGTACGCGGTAGTCGGTAAATTCCTCTTAAAAGAAGAAAAGAGACGAGCAAGGAAATTTACCTTTCGGATGGTGAGAATTCCTCGGAATTTTCGAGACAATCTCCGCCGAACCGTGCGCGCTCCACCACGCGAGAATTCATTTTTGGCGGAATCCGTCGCGATGCCCTTTTTCCAATGGTCAGTGGTCGCACGCACGGAAAACAATCGTAGCTAAGGGTTCCAGTTGCTCGAACCGTACGCTGCGATTCGAGCATTCCTTCGGTCTCGACTCTCGATTGGTTCGCTCTCGAGGGTTCCGAGATGGCGGGAAACCGAGAGATCGAAAGCGCGCGAGCGCCACCATTCCAAGGTAAATTCAATCGAATCGAATCTATCCTGTCCCAAGATGGACTACATAGGTGTCCCGTCCTCTTCTGTTTCGTCGAAGGAACATCTGGAAATGATATTTCGTTGGGAAACGTTGCGAAAAGGAGGAGGAAATGGGTTCGAAAGAAAACTTTCCTAGCATTTCGTTCCAAGAATTTTATTCTCGCCAAGAGACAGCAGCGTCTTGGCACGATACACGAGAGGCGCACGGTTACCATTGCAACTTGCGTATTTTCCAGATGCTAAACTACCTGCTCGAATCGAGCATTCGAACATTAACGTTTCGAACGTCGAAGCTTGTCATCTTCGCCGTACAGTTTCATCCGAAAAGGCACCAATTCCGAAATTGTCTTGCGATAGTTGAATGGGGGATCCTCCGGCCGTATTCCTCGTTCGTACCACCAGCCATACCTGCGAATAATCGAGAAAAACCAACGTGTTTCCGAAATTCCGACTATCGCGACACAGTGCGCGTTATACATGTAAGTAGCAAGATAAGATTACGCGTGACTGGTCAACAGATGACAGGGATAACCATTATCCTCGAGGTTTCCCCTCTCCAGAGGTGCAAGTTTTTCAAGGTCGTCGCTTCTGGGAGGATCATACTCGTTCGGGTAGAAGTTTGGCGCCATCGAGTCCCCTGTCATTTCGTGGGAACGAATGTACGACTTGCCGAGAAGCCGATTCCTGGAGAAACAAAGCTTGAACGGTGGCTTTTCCGCTAGTCCGTTGATCGTCGGCGAGTTTGAATCGCGAGAACTACTTCGGTGAATTCGGTACACTCGGTCCATTCGGCGTCGGTTCGGTCGACCGTTTGTCGTGTCTTTGGAACGTGCCTAAAAACGTCGGGGAAACGGGGAAACGGGGAAACGGGGAAACGGGGAAACGGGAGTAGCTGTCAAGTGCGACGTAGCGCGACGTAGTACCGCGTCAACGGCGTGACACTCTTCGTAAGAGGATGGCGTATATTTGATCGATCATTTCCGACCACGCCAAAAATAAATACAATGTCATCTGGATTTGCCCTCGATGCGAAAAGGAAAGGAAAGGAATGAAACGAAAATGGCAACGTCTACGTAGCAACGACAACGAAATACACGAATAACATGTGCGCATCTATTGCTTCAAAACGTCTCAATTAAATGCTATTTTATTAGGAAGCTTACACAGTTCTCGTAAGACTCGCGCTGGACTTGTTACACGAGAACAATGATGCCCCGCCGCTCCATGTTCTCGATCTTATCGCAATTTTCAATTACGTTCCCTTGTCGTTTATCACGGTACCGAATCGCAACAAAAACATACCTTACAAGAGGCACAGACAGTTTTCGGACACGCTTCTATTTCATACTCGGAAATGTGTAATTAGATTTAGAGTGACGCCGGTCGAACCAAATACGCGCACACTTGGTTTCTTTTCAGCTGTTCAGCCTGGTAACCGATTCTTCCCTATTTTCGAAAAGAAGGAAAAGCATCGCTCTTCTTGGCAATCGGTTCGCGAGTTGTTCGGATACACCGCGCGCGATCGATCGGCGATTCGAGTCAGGCGGCAAAGCGAAAACAGAAAAACAGAAGAATAACGGCATCGAATAGTGGCGCACGCTCTTTTATTTGTTCCTTTAAACTTGTCGTCTCTTTTTCTTGTATATCGATGAAAAAAGGGGAAGGGGAGTCGCGAGCCGTGTCTCCCTCTTTCGTTCCAATTTCGAGCATTTTCGCGAGCGCATGGCATTTATCCGTACAATAACGATCGAGAATTCTGCTGGCCAAAGAAAATACATGTTCGCGACGGTGTGTCGTCTTGGAAAAGAATGCAAACGAGTTGTATGGTTCCGTGCATAGAAACCTCGAAACCTTATAAATCTATCGCAAAGATGTTCGTTTCTTTCCACGCGTATTCGTAGACGCACTCTGTCCCCCTCTGTTCGGATCGGTTTTCGTGACCGTTCGCCGCTCGATTCGTCTCTGGTTCGGATACGCGTTCAAAGGCGCGTACGCGGACATTACGATTAAACAACTATTGTTATGGCCGTGGATTTCCTTGTTACGTAACGACGATGCTTCTCTAATTGTTCGCCCTTAAGTATATACCAGTTCTATCCTTAGTCGGTGCTACGATAGATTTTCAGATTTTGCAGATTCGGCTGAAATCGTGCGTATACGCTTGTACGGAGTTCGAGCTGTCGACATTTCGACATTTCGAACGGAAATTTCCGAGAAAATGGCACGCGATGCAAATCGATCCGAATGTGTTTTTGAAATATCGTCGAATCGTCGCTTCCAATGTCGAATAGAATTACTCGGTGTAATTGTTTCGCCAGATTATCCGTACCTTGTCAATATTTACGGATGAGAGGACGAGAGGTCGAGAGCCTCGGGACGGTTCGCGTTGGTTCGCGTTGATTCGCCGCTTAATCTCCTCCTCGTCTCGAGCGTTTTCACGAAAGAAACAAAGAAAGAAACTAGAAAGCGATAGAGAAATACAAGGAACCGAAGGATCGTCTCTCGATCAGAGCGAAATCTCACCCTGTATCGTTGTATTATCTTTGGTCTTACAAAAACGAGACCCGTAAATACGCTGGTACATATTGTTGTTAAGTTTCTTTGCGCTTCTATCCGGTAAAAGAGCACGCGCGTAACGCGTCGATACTTTTTTTTTTTATTTTTTTAGTTTCTACGTCGTAAGTGTGCGACACACACAAATTTCTCGGTACTACTCTTCTTCGGGAGCATTAGAATTTGAAAAGAAGCGGCTGGTTTCAACGATCTCCGAATATCTCTGTTCCGAGGGCTCGGACGAATCTTTACTTTTAAGTTATTTCTTTCTCTGTTCGACACGCGGTTCGATGGAACGACGAAGCGTGAGCGTTGAACGCGACCGACACGCGAGGACAAACCTCTTCGGGATATACAACACGCGTCGAAACAAGGAAGAGAACAACTCCCTCTCTCTCTCGGCTCTTTCGTCCTGCTGTTATTTTTTCCTTTCCTTTTTCTCTTCTTTTTATTTCTCGTTTTTTTCCTGCGTTTTCTTTCGTTTTCTTAGTTTTTTTTCCTTCTCGTTTTCTCAGTTTTTCTCGTTTTTCTGGTTTTCCTCGTTTTATCGCTTTCTCGAACCCGCCATGTATTGTACAACACCGCTTACAACATTATAAATTCTATCTCTAACCATCTTAGGTTTCTCCGAACGCGATAAACGTGCGATAAACGTGCGATACGTCTATCGAATTTACGCAGCTCGTTCTTCAACTGCCCTGAGTAAAAAGTTGCCCGCCTCGCAGCGCGAACCAACGACGAGCGGGACGCGAGAGATCGATCGATTTGGAAAATCATGATTTAGGAAGTTGTCGACGACAAGAAAGAACGGAGTCGTTCGAGCAATTGTTCGTTGAATAGGATGCGCGTCGATGATCGTTGATGGGTTCGCGATGAAAGGCGACCGTGTCGGTACAGCGACCGCTCGAAACGTTCGGTTGCGACTGCGGGCGGGTAGACGATCAAACGACTTTTCGTCGATAGAGCTCTACAAAAATACGTAACGGTAATTAATTAATCGATAGATTCGTATAATCTAGGTTCACCGATCAAACTTTCGTTTTTCCCCTCGAAACGCGTCCCCTCCTCTCGTCTCTTTTCTCTTTGCTCCTTCCTTCGTCCCTGTTCGTCTAGCTTCGAGAGCCCCCTCTTTTCCTATGCTTTCGC